AGAAGTAGAAATCAGCATGTATACAGTGCAACCGTCCGCATATTTGACAAGTGTTTTCCGCTGAAGATGGCAGATCATGCGGAAAAGAAAGAAAGAAATGGGTTAAGAATAGCTTTCCTCTGAAAACAATGTACTGTTCTCTTCCAGAGGAACATGGCCAGTTGGTTATCCAGTTGTCAGTGTTGCTTACTTACTTACTTACGCCTGTTACTCCCAATGGAGCATAGGTCGCCGACCTGCATTCTCCAACCCACTCTTACCTGGGCCTACTTTTCTAGTTCCATCCAATTCTTGTTCATTTTTCTCATGTCTATCTCCATTTCTCGGCGTAATGTGTTCCTTGGTCTTCCTCTCCTCCTTTGACCTTCAGGATTCCATGTGAGGGCTTGTCATGTGACGCAGTTCGGTGCTTTCCTCAATGTGTGTCCTATCCACTTCCAACGCTTCTTCCTGATTTCTTCCTCCACTGGGATCTGGTTTGTTCACTCCCACAGTACGTTGTTGCTAATAGTGTCTGGCCAACGGATCCGAAGTATTTTGCGTAGACAACTGTTAATAAACACCTGTATTTTCTGGATGATGGCTTTCGTAGTTCTCCAGGTTTCTGCCCCATACAGTAGAACTGTCTTGACATTTGTATTGAAAATCCTGACCTTGGTGTTGGCTGACAGTTGCTTTGAGTTCCAGATGTTCCTCAGTTGTAAATATGCTGCTCTTGCTTTGCCGATCCGCGCTTTCACATCTGCATCAGATCCACCCTGTTCGTCAATGATGCTGCTCAAATACGTAAAGGTTTTTACATCTTCCAAATCTTCTCCGTCAATTGTGATTGGATTGATGCATTCTGTGTTGTATCGGAGAATCCTGCTTTTCCCTTTGTGTATATCGAGACCTACTGTTGCTGAGGCTGCTGCCACACTGTTCGTCTTCTCCTGCATTTGTTGTTGCGTTTGGGATAGAAGGGCCAGATCGTCTGCGAAGTCTAGATCATCCAACTGCATCTTAGATGTCCATTGTATCCCGCGCTTCCCTTCAGACGTTGACGTCTTCATGATCCAGTCGATCACCAGGAGAAAGAGAAAGGGTGAGAGTAGGCAACCTTGCCTACCACCGGTCTTCACTTCGGACGACTTTGTCAACTGTCCTCCATGCACAATTTTGCAGTGTAATCCATCATATGAGTTCTGTATGATATTGACTATCTTCTGAGGCACGCCGTGGTATCGAAGAAGCTTCCATAGTGTTGTTCTGTCCACGCTATCAAATGCCTTTTCGTAGTCAATGAAGTTGATGTAGAGTGATGAATTCCATTCAATTGATTGTTCCACAATGATCCGTAGAGTTGCGATTGGGTCTGTACACGATCTATCCTTACGGAATCCTGCCTGTTGGTCACGAAGTTGGGCGTCTACGCAGTCCTTCATCCTGTTTAACAATACCCTGTTGAAGACTTTTCCCGGTATTGAGAGAAGAGCGATGCCCCTGTAGTTATCACACTTGCTGAGGTCGCCTTTCTTCTGTATTTTGATCAGAAGTCCTTCTTTCCAGTCTGTTGGTACTTGTTCCTCATCCCAAATCTTATTGAAGAGAATGTGGAGTATCCTTGCAGTTGCCGCTACGTCTGCTTTTAGTGCCTCTGCTGGGATGTTGTCCGGTCCTGCTGCTTTGCCACTCTTGATTTGTCTGATGGCCATGCTGATTTCTTCAATTGTTGGTGGGCTAACATTGATTGGGAGGTCCGTGGGTGCTGCTTCGATGTTGGGTGGGTTCAGTGGAGCTGGTCGATTCAAGAGTTCTTTGAAGTGTTCTACGCACCTGTTTTGTTGCTCTTCAATGTTGGTGATTACCTTGCCTTCTTTGCTTTTCACTGGTCGTTCTGGTTTGCGGCGATTTCCAGAGAGTTTCTTTGTCGTGTCATACAATTGTCTCGTGTTTCCTTCTCTTGCAGCCTTTTCCTCCGTCGTTGCTAAATCTTCCACATATTTACGTTTGTCGGTTCTGATGCTCCTCTTCACCTGTTTGTTTACTTCTGTGTATTCAGCTTGTGCCTTGGCTTTTTCTGCTCTTGTTCGGCTGGTATTGATTGCTGCTTTCTTGTTCCTCCTTTCTTGAATCTTATCCAGTGTATCAACAGTGATCCATTCCTTGTGATGGTGCTTCTTGTGGCCCAGGACCTCATGACATGTTGAAGTGATTGCCTCTTTGATCCCCTTCCAGTTGCTCTCCACAGTAGTTCTCTCTCCATTGAGTAGATCATGAAAGGCCTGGAACTTGTTGCCGAGGACTATCTTGAATTTGTTGAGTTTGTTAGTATCCTGAAGAAAGGCCGTATTGAACTTTTGTGATATTGTCCGCCCCATTGTCCAGTGTTTCTTTAGTTTCAACTTCATCTTGGCGACCAGTAAGTGATGATCTGATGCTATATCAGCTCCTCTCTTGGTTCTCACGTTCTCTATAGTCCTCCTGAACGTTTTGTTGATGCAAATATGGTCGATTTGGTTTTGCGTGGTGTGATCCGGTGAAGTCCATGTGGTTTTGTTTATGCGTTTATGTGGGAATATGGTGCCGCCTATGACCAGTTTATTGAAGGCACATAGATTTGCAAATCTCTCACCGTTTTCGTTTCTTTCGTTGTTAGTGTTGACTCTGATTAAATTGGTAAATAGAAATTGTCTTGAGATGAAATCAAAAGCAGAGGTTTAGTTTAGAAAAGCACATTGAACACACTTCTTACCCTTTTCCAAGCTGAATACTCTATTGTTATGCAAAACGGCAACGGCGTCTAAAGTGCTTCATTTGCATTTGTACGCAAACTGATACAGACTAACGTGCTTTTTAGTGCAGGTTAAATTTTGAGTGACAGTAATTTTTCTGCTGTTTTGAGAAAAGGTGAAGTTATTGCAATGGCTCGTAGGGCTTCAATAAATTTTTGAACACTTACATCTCTGCGAACGTTTATTTCAAAAATTATGAGCTGAATTTCGTAAAATGTCCTACTGGTCGATAATGTAAGATCAATTTAATGCATCACTAAAAACCCAATCAACATGTAAACGAATGCATCACATCCCACTGTGCTTATTAATTTACATTTGTTGACACATGTACATAGAAAGGAGTAATCTTCTACGTGTAAGGTAGCCGAACATGTACCGAAGTGGTTATAAAAACCGTTTAATTCCACTAGGAGCATATAAAAAAGAACCACCTTCGTCTATTGATAAATAATTAGCTAAAATACGTCACAGTATTGATATCAAATCATACTTGGAACTCTAATATAAAGATGTTCTTGAATGAATGTTTAGGTAACCTTATAAGCCATATGGGAATCCGAATTCCCTTTGTCTTCAAAAACGGTTTGTACTTATTTCGAACTTAGTTTGATAATACTGATTTTGAATTTAATATCGATTGGAATGATCTATGCTTCCCTCACTCAGTTTATTCGAAACTATCAAGTCACACCTTGGTAATGATACCTACTTGATATCTTTTTTGTTTCTGTGTTTACTTTTGTCTAGCTTGATGTTTTCCTTTTTCACAGAAATACCTCAACAAGTTAAATATGGGATCATATTTTTCGAAGTATATTACGCTAATGTATATCACGTAGCTTTAATAAATTTCGTCTTCTCGTTGTATTATCCAAAGTAGTAACTTCAACTAAAGTAAAGGAAGTCGTATCTCATCCAATAATGCTGAGGTCTTGTTGATTACATCACGGATTGATATTAGTTGAACAGTCACTGGTCTTCTAAACCTGATAACTTTTTTCAGTATTTTTATTCCCATCGATTGTTTTAGCAGATTATAACATGTCATATTGTCATTGATTAGCTATAGTCATGCTAATATTTCTGTTGATTGCAGATTGACTTGAATATAATGCTTCTAAAAATATCTGATATTTTTTGAGTTTCTTTTATCTAAAATCTTGTCGTATTTTTCAAATCAAATTCGGGTCTCTAGTTGTCTGTATCGATTTACATTACTGACAATATGTCGTGTTATCTAACTGCTAATTTGTATTCATTTGTACGTTGGCGTTATGTGTCTGATAATAAGATGGGCAGATGAATCAGCGTGAAGCCACGCACGCATATTACCCTAATTCATAAGAGCGCAAAAATAGGAACTGGCTATATGGTTTAAATAATAAAATAAACGGACAGGTATCGCTTCGTAGTATTTTCAAACTTTCTAGAACATCCTTCTTATCTCAATCATATGGCCGACGATAATCCAATATACCTGCCCACTTCAGTCAATGTATGTTTAAAAATTCATTGTCCAACTAGTTATTTTTTATCTAAAACTTATCTTAAAATTGCTAATCTAATGGTTTCATCACATGGTAGCCTAATTGCCTAACTTGTTAAACAAATGTCTATAGTCAGTTATATTTGTTATGTTTCGTTATTGCTTGAATGCGATTACTGATGCGTCTTACTCGAACGAAACGAAGGATCAATGATTCAGCGACTCGATAGACTATTCTGGTCCGTTGTCCCCAACTCTGCTAACTCGATCAAGAAGTCTGGGTAAGGTGTAGAAAGTGTATTCTACAGACAAACAGCAGATAACAAGTCAGGCAGGCAGATCAGATCAAGCATACAAGTCAAAGCGTATTTATACAATTATTTACAATCGATATTGTCATAGAAAATTTTTAAACATTAATCAATGAGTTCATTAATTGACCTATTTGCGCATTTAATCGATAGTTCATCAACTGACCTATTTGCGCATTTAATCGATAGTTCATCAATTGACCCCAATAAAAATATCTAACATTTAATCGATAAGATGATCGGTAAGATAAAATTTAAAAATATGAGTTTGGGGATCTATCGTCCCCAACAATTTATCCCACAATGTTATCTTTTTCATCTTTTGCTAATAACCCTTCTTTACTATTTCTCAACAGATTTTTATCATATTTGACGATTATTTTGACTTTGCTTACTTTCATGCATTCCTTATTTACGCATTTGCAGAGAATCCTGTCTAGATGTACCTGATTCAAAAAACAAAGCCGTAGTAATCTTGTATCCATGTCATGGCCAAGGTGGTAATCAACAATGGAAAATTCGACCAACTAATCGTAATAAATCGAACCCCCTACACTTGGTTCTTGGAGCTAGTGGAGCTTGTTTGGATTCTGATCCGAAAAACCGATTAGTTTTTGTGAATTCATGTGATTATACTTCGCCAACTCAAAGCTGGACTTGGGAAAAATTGAAAATTGATGTGGCTGAACACTCGATGAAAGAAGCTGGTCTGTAGCATTTTTCATCTGCTTTTGTTTTATTTGGAAAATTTATGGTCTGGTTAGTGAAAATTATTGTTGACCTATCTGTCATTCTTTTTTTCTGTGATATATATAAACAACCTATTTTGGCTGTTCATGCGTTTTATTTTCTTCTCTGAATTTTCTACAAATATTTTTCAATAAATATTGTGTTTTGTGTAAATCTCTTGTTGAATTTGTCGTCGATGTAACAACGAACTCATTGTCTTCACCCTGCCCCAAAATGCTTTGATACGGCCGAGGGTGGGGAGTTTGCTCTCCTTCTCGAGATGCTCTCAAGTGGCCACGTGCATACAACCACTGTCAGTGAAGTCCTACTCACTGCCTTTTCGCGGCAGGGGTGTTGTTTACGGAATTGATATGACGATAAGCGAATGTCTGGCACTCTAACTGGGTTGGTGGATATTGAGGACCCACCTGGGGGAGTTGAAAAACTCTGATTCTAAACCAATAGTGCACATGGGCTCCAGTATCCCGTAGGAACAAACGGCGTATGAATCAATTATTAGTCACCGGCTACCATGGGACTGCATCTCCTGACATTTCCCCACTGCCCTGTGGATCAGACCTTTGGGTCGAACGCTACGGTTGTGGCCCTCTCAGAAGACCACCTACTTCGGTCTGAGCACCCGGGCAGTATCACAGCCCACACACGAATCAAGTGACTCGTGTGACGCATATGTATTCAGCGCCCCTTTATATACCACTATTTGTGTTCAAATAAATAAATGTCTTCACCCTGCAAGTATGTGCTTATTCAACTCTATAATACGTTTCCAGAGATGTCGTAAACATAATCTTCAAACTTTCAGATATGATATCTGATGTTATTAAGTCTTCAATGAATGCAGTATCTGTTAGGATGAAAATTAGGTTAAGCTCTGACCAGTCAGTAATATTTCCAACCTTCACTAGTGAATTGATTTTGGTTGACTCTTCTGAGTTTCTGATCAGAAACCATGACATCTAAAATCAAACAAATCGGGTTTGTGGCATTGATCTACCGGTGACATTAGGTTAAGATATCTCTGGTATGAACTCGCTGTTTACACTGCTAAAATTATTGTTGATGTTGTGAACGTACACTGTTGAATTGTCTGAAGCCTACGTCGTGTAGCTAATCATTTTTCAATGATTTCTCCATTGTTTCTGCATTTAATGTTAGTCTATGGCTAAATCAATCTTTGTACGCATTTCTATGGATTAAATCGGAATTCTCGGAAATCAGTAGTATTTGCTAATCAACACATGATAAGTTAATAGTATTAGCTTCCATCCCATCACAATTTTTTAGCGAATACTTTAACGTAGTAGTGATACTGTAGCTAGCAATGAAATTCAGAATGTAATTTGTCCTACTTTCGTGATTCGTTCAGTGTATTTTCATCCCAATAAGTGTCATCTGTAACAGTTTGTACTCGTTTTAAAAATTGCATTTATATTAATCCAAAAGACTCATTGGTGAAAACATTTGCAAAATACCTTCGATTCGAACGGTATCTCAGTCAACTTAATCCGCATAATTTGTTTGTATGTGGATTTTGCATAACCTAGTCAGTCATCCTCCAAACTCGTTAAATGACTTAACTATTTTAGATTAATATATACGTGGCGATGTCAAGACACTGGCTTCATTTAATTGCGATTTCTTTGAACACATCCAAAATATGTCACTTAGTACCTGAAGCTGTTAAGTGACATAAACTGTCAGTTGAATAAAAGTTACATGCTGTATCTATATAAACAGTTACATGTTTAAATCATTCTATAATTACAGACGAGCTATTCTATATAATACTCATAAAACATGAATATTTGATATAATTAACTGAATAGTGCCAAATGGACTAGAGTGGTTCTGGTCGACCTTATTGATCGGGTTGTTTTTTTCATAAATGAACTGCTAGAAAAAAAAATGAAAACAGTAATTAATTACCGAAACACTAGTCATTTTAAGTCGTTCATTCATAATATACTACATGAAAATCATGAGCAAAATAATTTTTGTCAAATTAATACATTACAACTGTTAATAATTAATCTGTCTTTATCTTAATCGTAATTAATTGATAATCGGTCAACTGGAGGATTAAAGCATTTCAATGAAGTAATGATTTCATTACTGGTAGAGTTCAAAATTTATTTTTACTAATACTTAAGAACTTTTTGAGTCCCACAATATCACTGAAATACAATAGAATTAATAACGAACGAAGGTTGACATTTTTTATTGGATAGGGATTGTATCGTTTAAAGAAGTGGTAAATAATCTGTCGATTGGTCAGTAATTTCGAAGTAGATGATACTATGTAGTATTTTTATACTGTGTTGGTTTAGTTAAAAAGAATTGTTTGTGTAACTTCCAAAAGAGTATAACCAATCATAACCGAAGTGTAGCCTGCAATATGTATAGATTTAACCAAGTAGTTGCTATCGTATTAGCAAGACGAAGGAATTTTAAAATAATTAGTTGAAAAGTAATCGAAATAATATAGTAATAGTGACAATGAGGAAGATGGAACATTGAGAATACGGTTAGAAAAGATAAACGAATACTGGAACTTGAGATGTAGAGGAAAGTGGAGAGAGTCTGGGTGATTGTTGCTGATCGTGAGTTGTCACTCGACGTCCCCAACCACTGATTGAGGTTATCATCCTGTACCTAACTAGGTAATGTACACCCATCTTTGTTTCTCAAACCAAGAGTCAACGACTGCATGAAATAATGTTATATATTTTGTTTTGGCAGCCTTCAACTTTCTCAAAACCTATTTCACCAGCAAACATCGTTCATCGATGTAGACGGTGGTTATGAATACGTAACATGTGTTGTGAACACCTCATTTTGTAAAGATTCACTAACTAATCAATATGTGTACCAAACTTCAACACTGCTTAATCGATAGTCACACGATCCCCGAGGAAAGCTTCAAAGATGCCTGGTTGAAAACTATTAGCCTACGCGTCTTCTACTTCTATAATTTATATTCTATATTGTCAATTCATTATGTCTACAAATCAAACAGTCTCTACATGCATCACCTTTACTCACAAAGAATTTAATACTAAAATCCAATAGATGTATATTTTTATCAAATTAACGATACCATAGTTATGGCATGTAAGATGATGCTCTTACAAAATAGAAATCCGAAACACCAAAGTCTTTGGAAAGCAAAATCAAATAAATGTTTTAAGGGTATGAATTAAGATCTGATCTCACAGATGTGTTAGCCTGAAATCCATTTAGGATATTCTAATGCGCTTACACTCCTGGTTCATCATTTGTCAGAGTGGATTACGAAAACAAAGTTTAAAAACAATGATTAAAAAATTGTATTGGAATAAACATCAATTAGAAAGTGGAATTCCACCAGGAAATTAGAAGTACAATGAAATTTATTTCAAAGTCAATCGATAACCAAATAAACAAACGTTCATAGAATGGTATTCTACAAGTAGATATGATATGTGACAACGTGGACTAGTGTCTATGTCAAACATTTATAGTTTTAAATATTGTTAAGCTGTAAAAATCATTATTTGTCTGATTCCTCCTATTGTAATACGGAGGACATATGCAAGATTTGTTAAAGAAATAATTAGTTCCTAAGTTTTGTATAAATAGTGTTATTTATGTTTATTACTAAAATGGGTAACAATAGTTTCCTCTTAACGCCAATCAATTTGACTCAGTTCAATTTTGATATGACCGTTTTTTATTTAATTGCTAATCAATAAAATTGTACTCACTTCCTAGGTCTGTCAGCTTCTCATAAATGTTGATTTCATTGTAACTCTCATTACTGCTTAATCAGTGTTCTGTTCTTTATAAACTTTTATGTCTGTTCAAGTAATAAAGTTCGGAGACAACTGTTCAAAAAGTAGCTAACTAGGCCTTTTATATTCGGTTTTCATTTTTAAGGAGTCAGATGCATAGTGCCACCCTTATTCATCAGTTCTAAATCTTTTCGACTTGGAATGCATAGTACATTCAATTTAGCTAGAGTGATCACATTATTTATTCACGTTATTTTCAGTTATGCGGTCATATGTCAAGTTGGTGGTTTGCTGGAAATTTTAATAAATTTTTTTAATTATTTGATATGAAAGCTGTATTATAAGGATCACAGTAACTAATAAAGTGATACTGGAAACCGTATTTATGTACATGTTTGTCACTGAAGGTATCAAGGTTTAAATATAACCTGATAGGAGACCTTGAAAACAACCAACTTCAACACAAGCCAAATTCCACTTGGCATTCTTCAAGGATTTATTCCTTTTATACCAACATTATTCTATTATTTAGTGTTTTCAGTTACCGTCTAAAGCCGTTAACAAGCGTACTACCTACTTACGCAATAGGCTATCCACCAGCACTCTTCATCCAACTCTGTCCTGGGCAATCCTTTCCAGTTGTTATTGATCCTTTACATGTCTGCTTCCAATTCCCGACGCAGTGTATTCTCTGGCCTTCCTCTTTCGCGCTTCTCCTCATTATTCCAAGTTAGCCGTGATGCAGTTCGATTATTTCAATGTATGTCCTATCCACTTCCAACGTCTTTTCCTTATTTCTTCCTCATCCGGAAGCTGGTTTGTTCTTTCCCACAGTAGGCTGTTGCTGATGGTATCCAGCCAACGGATATTGAGTATCTTGCGTAGACAACTGTTTATAAATACTTGTACCTTCATGATGATGGTTTTAGTAGTTCTCCACGTTTCAGCTCCATACGGTAAGACTGTCTTGACGTTCGTATAACGAGCGTATACCCTGTAAAAATTAAAGTTGGACTATGCTATTCAGCTTATGTTTAATGATTTAAACATATACCTTGAGAATCCATTGCAGGTGTAGAAGCTGACTTACAAAATCATATCGACTGAAAAGTCTTTCCAACAATTGTTATCACGTAACAAGAAGTGTTCGAATGAAACTAAATTGCAAAAAGATCCTAGTTACGTATTTTAACTGGTAAACAACCAACAAATTAATTCTTTATTTTTCTATTATGATAGTGTTATGGATTGATGTGTGTATGATCTGTAATCGAACATGATTTTATAATCGATGCAGTGTATGACAGTTTTGTAGTATTCATTATAAAAAAAGTAAGCAAGTTACTAAAACAGTAAATGTTTATGAAAGCCATTAAATAC